TCAGGTCCAATAACTACGCCAACGTTCTTAGACGCACTATCACGAACCATATCTAATATGTCCGCATCCCCATGATCATCAATGCTTCCACCTTTAAGAAACCCATCATTCAAGATTTCAAGTGCTGGAATTTCACATTTTAAATTAAGATTGTCTCGAATGTATGTTCTGACCAATGAATGTACAGTTCCGGAGTGTTTAAGAATGATCAATCCACTTGGTTGTGCGACTGAAAGATATACATTTTGACGTTCTGGCGGGTAGGTAGGATCTATTTTATAATTACTTATATTTAGAGTTAAATCTAATAAAATGTAAAAACGTAATTAAAAATATCCACACAAACCAATAACACTAAAAGTAGCACCGGCTTTAAGAACACCCATAATAGCAACCACTAAATCAACACCACGATACGCGTAAATCATGACTACATCTTCTCTTTCAATTCCATTATTTATTAAATAATGAGCAACAATATTTGATGCTTCATTGATACACTGATAAGTAAAAACGCGTTTTTTAGAAACATCACTAGTGGATACTACAACACATCGGTTATTTGGAATCCTTTTGGCATTTGCGGAAAAAATGTCAGTTATTGCGCCATGAAATTGCGACCATTTCAAATCCGACTTTGGGTCAGGAAGCACTTCTAAACATTTGTCTGTTAACATAGGGATTTCAGCAATACATGTTTCACTATGTGAAACAGCATAGTTTAAAACTGCGACAAGTTGATCTAGAATATGAGAAATTCGTTTTTCAGAGAATAAGAGCTGATTATATAAAAATTGGATTTCTATGGCAGGAAGAAGTGCATGACGAAGCGACGATGATGAATGTGATGCGATTAATACGGTAAGGTCTGTTGCTAAAGAGATTGCTGGTGGTAAAGGATTTTCAGGCATGTCGGTTTGGTTAAAGAATCTAACACGAAAAAGAGGTGAATGAACGGAGGTTGATAATGGACTTTGGGCTTTTTCGGGGAATAATGAGGAAATTAATAAATGAAAAGGAACTTCATCCGCCGTCGCTTCTCGATCAACCTTCAGACAATTATTAAGCAATAATTAATTAGTACAAGATTTAGGTTTTAATAAAGTATTATATAGAGAGGGATGTGCACATTAGGTATATATGGGTGTCTAAATTACTTTTTTAAAAAAAATAAATTTGTAAAACATTTCACCATTGCTAAATTTTTTTTAATATGAAGCCACTAATAATTTCAACAATTATGAAAGTTAACTTTGCCACTAATAATAATTTCGCAATTATATAATTTCGTAATTGTGAAAGTTAACTTTGCCACTAATAAAAACAGATTTCAGCAGACTAATTGCCAAAATAATTATTGCTAAAAGAAATAATTTAGACACCCATGTATACCCATAAGTAGGTTATGCAGTAAACCGCTACGCAGCCTACACGGATTTTTAATAGTTTTATGATTTGGGCAATTCCAGCCAAAATATCTCTAATATTGATAATGCATATTCATTTATATCATAAGCTATACAGACTACTAGGGACGCTAAGCAGTTCAAGTGAATTCAATTCATACCAAGTTTAAATGTGAACTTGAGTTGAACTGATATTGAGGATTGAACTTCGAGAACTTGGTCCAGTCTTAAGCCTAAACTTCGGACAGAACTTTAACTAGTTCAATTACATTTTTAATTAACTAGACTGGGCCAGAAATTAACATCCCTACAGGCTGCATAGCCAGCCTAGGAAATTTGAATATTTCATAATTTTACTCGTCCTTAATCATGGAGAATAAACTTACTTGCTGAACTTTTTGGACAACCTGACCAAATGTATCTGAAGGATTAATATTTATCCTTAAAACGAGGGGATTTCTAGTATCCGAAGATGATCCAACCGTAATATCTTCATCACTTGTATACCGATGTAACAGCACAACAAAGGCCGCTAAAAGAATCGTAAAAGGAGTTGGTTGTTCATGAAACGATTCATTGGTTGGAGTTATAAACGTTGAAGTTTGTGATGGTGAAATAGAAGAATCAGGTTTAACGGCCAGTGAAAATTGTAAAACAGCTAATGCTGTGGCTTCAGGAAGACGTAGAATTTTTTTATCTTCTATAACTTTTGGAGTTGATGGTCGCGCATAATCTGTAGGCAATTGTATTTCGGTCAAATTCTGTAAACGTAGTTTCCAACGATCTAAACGTTTGTTTATTAATATTGGATCATGGGGATGCGGACATATTAGATATGGTTCGTGATAGTGCGTCTAAGAACGTTGGCGTAGTTATTGGACCTGA